TGTATCAGATTACAGCAGTAAGCACTGAGTTTCTGAAGCTGAGTTGTGCATATCTGTAGGACAACAGAAGCAGCTACCACTTCCCTACAGGCCAGAAAACAGATGTATAGAGAGCTATGTCAGGATACTTCAAGAAAGTCGATGTGGTAAAGTGTGGCTCTCCACAAGTTGCTCTTGAATCCAGTGCTTCCATAAGTCCCATCAAAGACTAGACTTCTGCCATTCAATTATATAACTTTAAAAGATAACACTTTCATAAATCTTTTTTTTTTCAGATTGAGTATTTTACAGGGTATCTCAGAAGTGCCAGTTGACAAAGCCATCTATTTTTCGTATGTTGAGAAGTTCATCACATGCCATCAATGTACAAAAGTCCCTGAAGGAAAAAGTGTTTCATCAGCCAGCATACCCCAGCTGTAAATTTTGAACCCCTAATGTGAGCAAACTGTTGATTTTAGATTTATAGAGCAATCTCAGGACTCTTCAGCTCTTCTGATTACACAGAATTCTTCTCTCTCAGATGACTCTGGTCAAATTTCATCCAAAACACAGAAATGGAACCAAGAATCAATCAGATTTTGGCACACATTGCTCATGTGTGGGACTTTGTTTGGGACCCTGAGCCTGGTTTGCTAGGGAACCGGGACTTATGCAATTCTGTTTGCAGTCAGATTTCATCAGCAACTTTGAAGTCCATTACCAATTCTAACCCTCTTTGAAAAGGCAATCATAAAGCTAATATAGTTTTGAGAATTAACAATTAACAACTGGTAATTTGGTGCCTATCCACCTGCAGGGGAAGGCAAAAGAGAAATCCAACACTGCTTGTAAGCTGTGAGTACAACAGCAGACAGTCAGATGGTGTCCTTGATGACCAGTCAGTTTGCCTGCTATCCATCAGCAAGAGTGAAAGAAGAGCGAGACAAAAATCACAAACCTGAAGGGAATCATACTCACAGAACAACTTATTTTAGAGTCAAATAGTCAAAATAGTTTTGTTTTTTTTTTTTTTCTTTTATACCATGATTTAAAATCCAAACATTTCTGTAATATCAGTGTACGGAATCAGCACAAACATAACAATATATTGGCATTATCAAAACTAAAATGAATGAAAAAAAAAAAAAAAAAGTGCATTGGAGGCAAGTAAAAGGAGCCTAGTAATCTATCAGCTTCTGCACCATTTCAGGATATGGCCACAAGTGATCAAGTTGAAGCAAATCAAGAAGTTTTTGTCTTCCAAAAAATGACTCTAAATATACTCAGTCTGATCCAAGATGAAGGGAAATGAGTCTATGAAGAGTCCTTCAGTGGTTCTGACAGTATCAGAAAAACACAGCTAGCAATATTTTAACCTTTAAGGAAGGAATCTAAGATTATACTTCTCTAGAAGAGAACTTTGGAGGAAAGAGTAAAAGAAAAAGAGAGAAAGAGAAAGGAATAAAGGGAGAAAGAAAGAGCTGGTGTCCAGTCTGGGGGAAAGCTTGAAACTCTAGATTAAATGAAAAGCAGCCCAAATTCTGCTGGGAGACAGAAGACGAGCTTGCACGGGTCCAGCCTTCCAAATGTCAGCTATTCTCAGTACAAATAACAACCAACAGCCACACGCCTTGTGCTTGCTTCCTTCTTGTATCCTGACCACTGCAGGAGAAACTGCCAAGTTTTCTCTGCTCTGTACTGTAGCAAAGTTGTGCACTTCAGAAGGGTACTGGTCAGGAAAGAAATTGGAGTTCAGTGCGGTTAAACTTCCTCTCTACCCTTACCATTTCCATGTAGAGCTTCAAATCAAACAAGGCAGGATGATGGCATACATGGAAGAAAATATGCTTAGAAGCATCCTTGACAATTCTTGCACTTCTCTCCCTCCTTTCTAATAAACTTGAAATTGCACCTTTAAAAACTCTCACTGATGTTTGAAATCAGCTATGCACTAATGAAGACAAAGAAAACGAAGGTTTCCAGTAACTGGAAGAAAATAATTTTAATCCACATTATCAGGTGATATTTCTGGTTATAGCTGATGATAGCATTCCTGACAGAACAAGACAATGTGTGTTAACAACAGGCATGTCTTGTTTATATGACTTATGTCATGCAGAGAGCGTAATTCAGAAAAAAATGTAGGGTAAATTCAAGCAATCACAAGAGGCCATTCATCATTCTGCCTACGTTTGTCTTTATTCATACTTCCACAAAACTGCAACTGTGTTCATTCCCAGAGGCAGAAGTTCATGGCAAAAGGATTAAAACAGACAACCTTTATCATCTTTCTCCAGCTGTCAGTCAGCCTTTTTTATCTTCCAGCATGTGTAACAGTATCAGCTCCACTGACAGCGCCACTGCCTTAGTGACTTTGGCCTGAAACAATGGCAACATTAAGTGGCTACTGCAGAGACATAAGATTATGTAAGTTCAGAAAGCTGAAGTATTTAATTGGTTGTTTCCCAAACACCCACAGCAATTCTCTCTGGTTGCATTGGTGTACTAGCAATTAAAAAGCTAGTTTTTCTTAGGGTTTCCTCACCTTCTGAAAGATAATAATTAAGTCATGAGAGGTGCATCTCGCTTATATGAGAATTATAGCATCCTTTGTTCTAAAAAATAGATCCCTAGAGTATAAATGATCACCTAGTGGAGGTTTACAGAAGTACCTATCACAAGAATGTCTGGCTGGTCAGAAATCTAGGCAACATCCCATTCCCTTTATCTTAGATGCTAGACGGGATTCTAGGTTTAAATGGAAAGCTAACCCTGTGATCTTATTTACTTAAATGAAACTTGTCCTGGCATATATTAATGAAATAAATAAAGCGAGGAGGAAAGAATTGTTTGTACATCAGCAGGTATCTGGGGCAGGCTGGTATGCTCTACAATAGGAATATGCAGTACTACTGTTACCAGCACTATGTAACTTGATCAAAATATATTTTCAAAGTTGCAATTAGAAAGAAGGTATGGAAAAGATCAGCTTTCATGCCATGCAATTTCCATTCACATCAAATATCTTGTCTCATGAAAATAAGTATTTTACAATCCTTCTTTTACAATCTACATGCAGTCTTTTCTTCGCAGCAGAATATCTATCAGCTGCAGCATAGTTAATAACAACATCACTGCCCACCACGATAGTGTGGCCATACACAAGAGTTGCTTGAAACAGCAGTTCATAGTTTTGTCTTAAGCCTTCTTTCAATTACAAATACACAGAGAAAAGCAGAGCTAATGTTGCACAAGCTATGGAAGTAAGACTTCCACCTCCCAAGTAGTGGAGGAGAAAAAGAAACTGAAGGCCAGTTGTTGTCGGGTTTGTTTTTTTAATGAAATGTTGCTGAACAGTGACAGTATTTTCTAGTTATGACTTAAATGAAGTAAAAAAGAAAATATAAATAACGGTATGAATAATACAGCAATTAAGCAACAGAAATGTGCAGAAATTGCTAAGAGAATGGTTATAAGTGACCATGCTGATCCTACTTGTCTATATATACAAATCTATACATTTCATAAACACAGCATCACTTGTAGTCCAGTGATTTCATTTGGTATGAGATACCACAGAATTTACTGCAAATAAGCAGCCTTTGTTGTCTAATACAAATGCACAAAGACATACAAGAAATCCAACTATGCACATAATTTACAGTGAAATTGTTGCTCAGTGCCATTAACAGCAGGAAGTCATGAGCTGGTGTTTTGCCTTCCTTACCTACAATAGGAATTTCTATGTGAGTTGATCCTCTATCACTCATGCTACAACTCTGAAGTACAATATGGAATAAGGATCTTATTTCAGCTTTTTCCACTTGTAGACAAATCCTAAACATTTGCCTCTTATATTAGCAGTAATTTTATTGCTAATTATAGAGATTATTACTTCTTGGAAAGTAGCAAACTAGACTATAGCTAAACTTTCTCCATCTCCTCACAGGATGCCAGAAAAGGCTACATTCATTATTGATGTAGATTAGTCTTCCATCTAAAACACAAAAGGCAAAGTTAAAGAAAGAAGTCAGCCACAGACACCTTCCCAAAGCAAGTCATGGTGCCAGCTGTCCCACTGCCCACTAACAGTGCCCCGGAGCTCACCCAGCTCCCAGACACAGCCCCATAATGCCAACTTTTGACTAAGTCCAGAAACAGGAGCCACTAGGGTGGGAAACAGACAAACACTTTTGCTCATCACAACCAAAAATTTCAGTTCCCCATTTCCTTCATAAAAGAAAACTCCCAGAGAACTTTCTTGCACAGTATCACAGAAAGGCAAACCACAAAAGAATGGAGAAAAGAGAGCAGATGTGATATTTTTTATGAGATCAGTGCTGCATTTATCACAGTGGAACTGTTCCAGTCATAAATGCCACATTCTTCCTGTATGTTTTCAGCATCTTTGATTCAGAAAGATACTTAGGTACATCTAAGTATTTAACATATAAACTTATTTATATATATATTTATATATAAGTTTATATGTTAAATAAGTTAAATATGTTTAATTACAATTAGTACTGAACATCTGGCCTACTTTATTGTTTGTTTTTTATTTTTTTCTTTCCGAGAACACAGAAAAAGGACGGGCAAGAATACAACAGATCTACACTTATGGTTGGCTTGTCATTGTCTTTCAGAACAAACTGCAGTTCAGAGCTTAAAAAAGGGGGCAGGAAAAAAAATATCAACTCATTTCCATCTCCATTTCAGTGTTACTTAACTTTTCACAGTGGTTTTCTATGTCTATGCAACATTTCTGGAAACTGCTAACTAAGTACCCGTGTGGTAGGTCTAGAGAAAACCATGCTTTAAGGATTAATACAAGTACTCAGAATGAAATTCTGAAAATAACTGTGTGTTGTACACTGAAATATGACACTTTATTATTTTCAGTGCTTTTGACTAATTGAAGATAATTTCAAACAGACATTATTAGTTCAATAAAAAGAATGCAACATTCAGTCTAGCAAAGTCATTCATTACAATATTTATTTTATGAAACAAAGAAGAAAATATAAAATGAAATTTTTTTCCATGCATCTTATAAAATACAGAGAAAGACACTGTCACAAACAAAACAGAGTACAAGCAAAGCAGAAGGCCCACTGAAAATTCTGGGAGCTCCACTCTTTGTATTTCGTCACACACACACACACACACACACACGAGCATATGCAGAAGAAAGTGTAGTCTAAATAAAGTAACAGGTTATCTGTCAGTGTCTTAAATCAGTAAATCTATCCACAAAACTTTTGCCATCACCTCTGTTTTGATAAGACCAAGCTGACGCAACTTGTTTTTCTCATTACCAGTTTTTGGTATTATCTTTGGCTGGGAACTCACAGCAGAGCTCATATCACATCACAGCCTAGGAAGATACCTGGGCTCAAATTTTAGGTAGATACAAGAAAATAGCAGGGCACAATTGGTGGCAGCTGTTCCACTGCTGTAAGTAGGGTGTAGGCAGCTGTTTTGACTGTCTTACTGAGGGTAAGAGGGAAGAAATACATCCTGTGAAAAATACATTGGTAGAAGCAGAGAATATATGTAGTACTTCTCTAAGAATTCCATTAACATAAAAGACATTTAGTGTTATAAATGATGCAAAAACCAACACCTTTATTCAGGTTGCAAGTTACTTTGCTAGAAAACTTTTTACTGAAAACTTGATGAGACTCCTTTTCCTTGTCTTGCAGCATTCTATTTAGCTTTAGCAAAGCTGTTACAAGATCTTTCTCCTGCTTTTATTGTACGGAACCTCTGACACTCCCATAATGGTTACCAACCACATGACTACTGACCACAAAGCCAGTCTAATTCTAGTATCATGCCTCTAACACAAAAGCAGCCCCCATCTCTTACTAAGAATGTCCAAAAGCTACATAGCTGTATTTTTGGGGGGTGAGGTGTAGAGAAAGGAAGAACAAGGCTCCACTTAACACAAACACCTATTACCCCAGAAGCCCCACTCCATGCAGGTTTAAGAATACCACAAGCAAAGAGTTTCACATGGGGAGGAGCGAAGAGAAGACAGCAGACTGGCATCCTTCAACCTGGACCCAGGGATGCATCCACTTCTCCAATAAGAGCATTCTTCTGCTAGCTACCAAGCTATCTCTGCTGTAGTGCGGAAGGTTCTGCATTTGACTCCTGTGAATGATGCACCATAGGGAAAGACTGTTACAGTGACAAATGTAGTTTCTGTACTGTTTCTTAAAAGCAAAGCTAGGAAGATGTAAATTGTAATTTAATCCGCAGCATGAAATATTAAAAGACTAGAAAATAGGAGATACAGAATTGCCTGTGCTACCTTAACTTGGTTCTTTGCATTCATGTATCAGCAAAATGAAAGATCATGTAACAAAGTCATCTTTCAATCCCCAGAACAATCTTATTTCATTTCACTGACAAGCACAAATAAGCAGAAAAAAAAACTCCATTGGAAATCACAAGTTCAGCATTTCTCATTTTTGAGTGGTTGCAGCTAGAATAATGTTTTCTTGATCAAGTTTTAAAAATTAAATTATGTTAGGTATTCAATTTCCCTCACATTAGGAAAACAAAAAATGTAGTAGATTATGGTCTCAGGCATTCACAGGCCTTACTGAAACACAAGGACTGAGTCTACTTTTAAAATAACTACCCTGCTTCCTAACTAGTATGATTTCTGCGTTGTCCATGTAAACATTACACAGAATCTTTGTACCACCCACTAAACCCTTTGCTTCAATCAACTATTTGTGCCCAAGAGTACATCCTTATGTTTCTTCCTACACCACAGCCATCCTCCTACACTATAAAAGATGTAATGAAATAGGAATTAATTATAGACGGATACTTACAAGGATTGCTGCTGTTTGGTTCTGCCTTCCCAGCCTTGGTGAGTTTGGCTGAGTTCTGCTGTGCTTTGCCCTGCTCCTCTCCAGTTAGTAAGGCTTTTATTTCAGAGGGAATTTTCCCTTGGTCCATTGCCATGCACCACTGCTTGTACTGAAACACACAAACATGTTAAGCATTAGCAAACTGCCAGGATCACATTAGCAGACAAAACAAAACTGTAATCTTTACCTTTCAATATATTCATTTAAGGTTTGAATTGATTGGACTGAAGCCTCTTACAAAACTGCAAAGTACTAACAAGCTAAGCATGTGTCCCTGGTTGCATACCTGGCTTCAGTAAGTCCCGTTTCAGTCAATAAGCTGCTACTCGATGGCAGAGCTAGACACAATACTGTAATTATTAAACAACATGGAACACTTTGTGCATTTTCTTGCTGTTAACATGCCAGAATACCGTTCCAGTTCATGGCCTATTAAAAAGAAATATTTCACATGACTCTGGGGCTGACTGACTATTAAGAGGTCCTTCCTGATGGTGCAAGGCAGAATTACAGGACATTTGCCTTGTTTCTAACTCCCTCATCTAAAATTCTTGATTAACAAACCCATAAAATGGTCATATGCAACGGTGCTTTCTTAGCTTACTTCTAAGCTAACCAGCAGATAATTTACATCATGATGTTCATATTCATCAAGCAAAGTAGGCAAGCAGATGAATGCATCTTTTAAGGACGTTTTAATATTCTATGGCTAGCCAAATCCCACTCTCACTTTAGTTAATGCAATTTCACAAAAGCCCCACACAATGGTAGGCCCCAAATAATACTGAAGGTCAGGTTAAGTGATGGTTTCATACCATTTCAAGCTCTTCTCTGAGAGCACAGATGGCTCGCTCTCGGCTTGAAACCAGCTCTTCCAGGTACTGGTACCTCAGCTTCTTCCTGGCTCTGCACTCCCTTGCACTCTGACGACTTCTTTCAAGTTTTGCCTTCAAGTCTATTTTGGCTGGTTTACGACCTCGCTTTCCTGGTTTCTTTACTTTGCCTCCAATCACCTGAAAATGAAAGGTACGCTAAAGATGATGTTCTGCAAAGGGAATGCTGAAACCATGTAACCATGCCTGTAGCTCTCTCAAGCAGAAAAACTTGCACATACTTGGACCAGTTGTAGAGCACTAGAGGAAAGGAGATGTAGCTCATTCCAGGGACTGATGTATAAAGCTTTGAATGATAGCACCAAAAAACAAAATAAAGGAGTTAGACTTGACAATGAATCAGTTCCTAAGTAGTCCTACTGTAAATGTTACTAACCCAATTTGGAGGAGCAATATCACAGAAACATAGAATGGCTGAGGTGAGAAGGGACCTCTTGGGTTCATCTGGCTCAATGTCAAAGCTCAGGGTGCTCAGGATCACATCCAGACAGTTTCTGAGTATGGATCCTCCACCACAACTCTGGGCAACCTGTGTCAGTGCTCTGTCACTCACTCATTGCTTCTTCTGGCCCTCTCTTCAGCAGCTCTGTATCTCCCTTATACCAAACCAGACACAGTACAACAGATTTCCAGGAGAATATCTGGGACATCTAGGAGGGAGAGAGATGATTTCTAGCAAAATTGTTTTAGTATTATCAGCAACCCCTGCCTTAGTACATGCCAGCTCAAGAATACTTTTTATGGAGTTTTACACTTCAAATTTGAATAAAAACAAAACAAAAAAAGATTTGTATCAGTACAAACCAAAGCTTTGTTTTGCTGCAATAAAATGACAGGATTTTCAGCCTATTCTGAAGATAAAAATCTCTGAATCATCTGAAATTACTTTGTCTTGATTTATTTCAAAGGAACTTTCTGAGTATTTTTTACTAAATAGGAGATTCAATTCCACTGAGTCCTACCTCTGCCCTCTGCTGCCTCCGTTTGAGCTGTACTGAATCAGTTCATATTTACATCTGAAACAGTTTGACACAACCTGGAAAACTGTCTTCTCATACAACCTATCCCAACAGTAATTTCTGCCACTGCATAATTTAGATCTCTTTTTGCAGAAAAGTAACCACATAACTTCTTGCTCTACCCACTGATGGTTTTGGAATCATTCTGTCCTTTCCTTTGTGGTCCCATTTTACAGGTCTGAAAGCAGCTCTTCCTACAAACACAAAAGAAAGAAATAGTTTCCTTAAAATTTACTCTGTGCCTCCCTACCCAAATATATTACTTTTATTATGAGAACACGGCATATGAAAGCCTGTTAAATACAGCATGAAACTTAGCACACTGGTCATAAGGTAGTATTGCCCTGCAAGCATTACTTCAGTCACAAGTTCCATTTCCCCTCTCAAATGAGGGGAAGTAAGAATTTCTCTCTATTTGCATTCTGACCACACTGTTTGACTGGAGAGGGTGTGGAGAAACACACCTAACATACCTACATATAAGAATTTCAATGCCAGCCAATGATTCACCACACTGTGTATAAACTACTTCTTCCTAAAAGACACTGCTCAAAATATCAGAGTTCATAAAGAAAAAAAAAGACACTTTCTACTGTATAATGTTGCAAAATAAGTCAGCTTCAACATTCAAAGAAGTCATTTGTTCTATAAACTTAGCAAGCTGCAATAAAAACAATAACATAGTGAACTGATGTGCTAGAATGAAAAAACGGATTATACAATTGAGCCTATTCTTTCTTTGGAAAGCAAGTCAACAATCACATGCCAACATAATGTACCCTTTTGTACATTGCCTCTCCTAATTTATTCAGGAGTAGCTGCCCCTCAGAATCAAATAGAGAAAGTACTTAATGGACATCTAGTGATAATGAAACAAACGTAACACATTCAGAAAAGCAAACAAAAATCCAGTCTTTTACATCTGAACGACAGAATACAGATTGAACGATTCATTTATTCCACGATGCACTTCCTCAAATCTTCTAAGCTCAGATACTGTTTTTCAGTTACTGCATGTGGGAAAACATTAAACTTGAAGCTGTACAACAGGACAGCCTGGTCCAAGACACAAAGCAACATCTGCTACATCTGTTGTTCCCTTTGCTCAAATTTGGGGATTTCCGAATCTTAATTTTAATCTCCTCAGCACTCATCTGATTACACAGCAAGCCACCAAAGTTGTGTAAAGCTAACCAGCCACGGCCAAGGGAAGCAGCAGCACCAGATAAAGAAAGGTGGCCATCCTTTTTTGGGCATGACAAGAGCAGCTCTTTCCTCACGTGAGAAAGGATTGCACTCTGTAGGTCACTGTTTGCTAGTGCTCTTACCACCAGGACTGGGGAAATAATGAAGAGCTTCCTCCACTTCTAACTCTTTCAGCGGTTAGACACTAATCATCTGCCTTTGCACAATCCCAAAAGATTCATACCGTCTCCAAGGCACCATATAATCAGAGTCACCCACAACAGCTAATTTAAGAAGTGATTTAACCAAATCCTTCATCCTTAGTCATTTTTCTTTACCAATATTTGGAAGCTTCTGCCGTAACCTTAAGCAACCCAGCTGGGGAAAAAACAACAACAAAAAAAGCCTGATAAATGCTTCGTTGGCATCCCATATTTCCAGATCTTTAGTCACGTTTACCTAGTCAATCACTATGCTGATGTGACAGAAAAAAGACAAAACAGAAATTCCAGCTGATCCTGAGCATGGCAGAGAACCTACAAAAAAACAAGCAAACAAACATACTGTCTTTCTTCTGTATTCCTCTGGAGTTTATAACTACTAGTGGGGATTTGTTTTTTCAGGGAGTTACATGCCATCAAGAACAATAGTACTGACAAGATTTGTCACAGAAATGTTAATAATGACACGCATCTGTCAGAAATTCATCCAAGTCTGTATTTCAGTTCAATCACAATTCAGAAAACAGCTTATCTCCCTTTCGATACAGCATTCAGACTATAACATCACTCTCATGCTAACAGTGTTTGAGTACAACATTATTTGACCTGGAATTGGAAATAGCTTCAATTACCTGCCCCGGCATAGAAACAGCCATCAGATTTTGGGCTTATTATTATTATTATCACAAAAAGAGTTTCAGTTTCATCTGCAGATGAATGGCCAGAACGTGTCACAGAGCTGCCCTCTGTGGGAAGGAGATACTTCTCATGGCTGCTACCATTCACCTGCCCAAGGAACTGAGCTACTTGGGATAATGCTGGCCTGTCACATATGCAGGAACTGGACAATCTGGAAGGTTAAAACAATGCCACCCTTTTTTCTCCAGTGCTGATAAAGCTGACCAGCCCAGTACCTTCCAGCAGTTCTTGGCTCATTCACAGACAAGTAAATAGCTCCTAAGTGCTACACCAGCCAATGCTTTAGATCCAATTCAAGAAATCATCTTCAGCAGACTCTTGTTCGTATTAGTAGTATAGGTCTGCAGAATCTAAATGGTGACCGTATACAGAAATTATAGAAAACCATAAAAATGATTGGGAAGGAACAAAATCAAGCCTAAACTCTGCATTCACTAAATAGAAAAGAAAAATAATCTACTAATTCTTGCAAATATTTTTTTCAAAACAAATTTGTTAGCTTTGCTCTACCAAATTAAGTTAGTTACAATAAAGATGACGTTACTCAGTCTGCTAAGTAACAGCACATCACATGAGGTTGCAGCATAGAACCCATCTAGAAAGTACTCTCGGCATTCTTCCATTGCACAATATTTTATGTACTCTGCACAGATTAGTTAGTTAACTTCCACTGGCACACTCAGTGACCTGAATCATACTGAGCAAGCATCTGATAATGATCCAAAAATGTAAGATACTAAGGGAGCAAGCAATTTATACACCTTAAGCAAGTATGCCAACCGAAATTAATCCAAAAGGTCTCCCTATACAACATGATTAAATTATTAAGATAATCTCTAGCAGAGAGGGTCATATTTTAGCTTCTGTTTTTCTATTGTTGTTGTTTATTTTTACTTTTTATTAATTTCGAAATATCCTTTTAAACTTGAACATGAACGAAGTTTTCTAGATCTGATGCTTGTATTTTCTGCCTCTCCCTTTAATTCTTACTACTTCATACAATCAAATAATTGTGGGGGTTGGAAGGGACCTCTGGAGATCATCAAGTCCAAACCCCCTGCCAATGCATGTTCCCTATATTAGGCCACACAATAAAGCATCTAGACAGGTCATGAATATCTCCAGAGAAGGAGACCCCACAACCTCTCTGGGCAGCTTGTTACAGTGCTCTGTCACTCTCATAGTAAATAAATTCTTCCTTGTGTTTGCTCAGAACTTCCTGTGTTTGTTTCAGCCCACTGCCCCTTGTTCTATTGCTGCACATAGCTGAGATGAGTCCCCCACCCCACCCCTCCATCGACTTGACTCTCACATTTTAGATATTTATAAACAGTGATGTTTATAAATGCCTACTCCAGTTTGAAGAGTCCAATGTCTCTCAGCTTTTCCTGGTACAGGAGTTGCCCCAGGCCCCTCATCATCTTTGTGGCCATTCTCATTTTGAGGAATATACTACGGTTGACCTATTCCTCTAAGGACATCTTAAACCAGATAAGGCTTATATTGTCTCATCTACTGGAAAGTAACCCTGTAGAGAAGGACCTGGGAGTACTGGTGGACAGCAGGCTGATCATGCAAACATTATGCCCCTGTGCCAAACAGTGTGTCCTGGTGCTCAAGAAGGCCAATGGTATCCTTGGGCACATTAAAGAGAGCATGAAAAGCAGGTTGAGGCAGGTGATCCTTCTCTCCAGATGAGGCCACATCTGGAGTACTGTGTCCAGTTCTGGGTTCCTCAGTTCAAGAAAGACAGAGAACGACAGGAGAGGGTCTAGACGATTAGAGGCCTGGAGAATCTCCTGTATGAAGAAATGCTGAGAGACCTGGGACTGTGCAGTCTGGAGAAGACTCAAGGGGGATCTTGTTAATGTGTATAAATATCTTAAGGGAAAGTATCAAGAGAATGGGGTCAGGCTGTTTCCTTTTGTGACTGGCAACAGGACAAGAGGCAATGGGCTCAAGCTGAAACACAGAACATTTCATCTGCACATGAGAAAAAACTTCTTCACTGTGAGGGTGGCAGAGCACTGGAACAAGAAGCCCATATCTCTTTCTACAGAGCTATTCAAAACCCACATGGATGTTATCCTGGGCAGGGTACTCTGGGTGACCCTGCTTGAAGCAAGGGAGTTGGACTAGATGATCCCAAGTGGTCCCTTCCAACCTCAACCATTCTGTGTTTCTGTGATAGAGCACTAAGAATTAGAGAAAAGGTACAGCTTGCAATTCCAAATTTTTTACACAGACAAACAAAAACTCTGAACGTGGGTGGATGTAGCTATAGAATGGTTACCTCACTGCTGATGTAATTTATTTACCTCAGCTTATACGGGAAAATTCCTTTCACAGTCACCTCATTCACTTCCATGATAAGACTGTCAGATTACACAGTCCAGCCCTTCTAACAGTGAGGAAAATGTGACTAGTGGAACTTTTAAAAGGCTTCAAAGACATGCTCACTTGAGCTGGCAGATCATGCTGGCTATAAAATGAAGTATAAACATTGCTTTCTTCATTCTCACACAGCAACATAAAATGGGAAGCACCCTCCCAACAGAAAGGGGATCTCTTCAGTGGAGCCAACAAACTCTTAAGCCTTGTAAATTTGTTCTGAAAGTAATTGCAGCTCTACAAAATAACAGGGAAATTTTTTTCAGAGCAGCAGGCACTTAATGAAAACCATCAACAATTTTCCGTAGAAGATATGGGGATCTGAAATTACCCAAGAGTATCTAAGGGAAAAACCTGCTGACGGAAGTACAGTTTGCTCTCTTCCTTACTGACAGTCACATCCAGTAGTTCTGGGCAGCATTGCTTTTCAAAGTCATCATCCTTGAAAACAGCTCAGTGGTAGGCATTAGATAAAAACATCATACTATGAAAATGTATTTGAGACTGAAGAGAGGAAAAGGAAATATTTCACTCTGCATATTCTTTTCTTCCTTTTACATGAGTTCTTCTAAGGAAAAAAAGAGCAAACACCTGTGTTGTTGATTGGGTGCCAATGTAAAGTTTATTTAGTCAGTGTGTCCAACAACTTTTTCAAGAGAAGCAGATTACTGAGACCTCAGGAGACACAATAATTGTATTTAAAAAAATTTTAATGAAATATCTGAAGATTGCTTGTTATAAATAAATGAATTCTAGGAGAAGTGAAATAGCTATATATGCCCCCAGAACTAAACTTTCTGTATCTTCTAAATGAGTGCCTGACCACACATACTGTTTCATTCAGTTAACCCACACAACTGTAGGCATTCTGTTGATGTTAAGCGATTCTTGACAAACACACAAACGTGGATAAACCACACAGAGCCAGGAGTCGGACTCTGTGACCTTGGTAGGCCCCTTCCAACTCGGGATATTCAGTGATTCCGTGCAAAATTATCCCATCCCACGGCCTATCTGACTGTGCTTTTTGGGGACTCGAGCTCTCGGGCACAACACCGATACCCCCACAACCACCACCGCAGCCGGCCGAAACGCCCAAATCCACCGGGGTTTGTGCAGCTCTGCCACCCGCCTCTGAGAAAAGGACGCGGCCTCCGAGGAAGCCCAGCTGCTTTCTCTCCCCGGCCCTAACGCGCAGTGACGGGCCCTTACCTTGCTGTCATCCATGTGCCCCGCCAGCCCCCGCAGACCCACGCAGAGCGCACAGAAGCCGCCTAGCCCGCGCCTCGCCGCCGCCCGCAGCCCCGACGCTCACCGTCCCGCAGCCGCCGCCATCGCGCTCCGCGCTGTTTGTTTACGGCCGGAGCGGCGGAGGAGCGGTGCGCGCTGGGAAGGGTAGTCCTGTGCCGCGCCGCCGCTATCGGCCGCCGCGGAGGTCGGAACGCGATGAACTACAAGTCTCCGGCAGGCCGCGCGAGGAGGAGCTCTGAAGTGGCAAACACGGCTCCGAGGGAGAACTACATTTCCCACGAGGCCTTAGCGCCGTCAGAGCCCGGCACGGCGCCTGCTCGGCTGCCTTCCCTTTCTGCTCGGCCCGCGCAGCCCCGCGTGCCCCGACCCTTTCGCTGTAAGCTAAGGCAGACGAAACGAAGTTTCCCTTGCCCAACCTTGTTCCCCTGAGTGGGGTAGCGTAGAACAGTAGGGCAGAAAAAAGATGAAGCACTCGTTGTGTTGACAGAGGGCCGCAGTTTATTCCTAGGGATCCGTTCTTCCTATTCTATGCCACCAGGACAATAATAAGCATAGGCTGTGTTACAGAGAAACAAAGCCAGTCAGCCAGTTATTTGGAAAACAAAGTTGGGTTGAATAGAGCAACGGGTTGGCACAACCATCAAGATGATGGGAAGCAAAGGAGAAAGATCGGAACAGTGACTATTTTTCCTCAAAGCAGGCTAATCAGATATTGGTCGTCTGCTATTGTTTGCTTTCTTTTGCCTTTTAAGTTTTGAAGACAGAATTGAGTCTTCCTAGCCACTTAGAAACTGCATGGAGCACTGAGACCGCGATCCGTGCACCATCTGAAGAAGTAGTACCAGCAATCCTTTGGGAATGCCAGGTTTCACCTCCCTTCACATCAACGCATAGCAGAAAAAGTTGAATGCTTTTGATGCAAAGCTAAGCCATGGCCTCCCCACGTCGCTTGAAATTAGGTCCCTGTTTGCTCAAAAGAAGCATGTATCCCAGGAAACAGCTCCGAAAACATGGTCTGTGTTTCAAGTTTGCAGTGAAGCCTGAAGCTACGCATGTTTCATGTTGCTGCATGTTTCTTTTTATTCATGAGCTCTTCATGCAGTGCTATTCACAAGAGTTTCCCATGACTTAATCTCTCTTACATGCAATTGTTAGGACTAAGGCTTTGTCATGGGATTTTCCCCCTGAATCACATACCTTCCTCTTGGAGGGATATACTTTCTGCATCTGCATGGCAGAGACAAAGCACTTTTATAAGCTTTTTTCATAAGCTTATATGCTTTTCAGTTGTCAGAGCAGTTTATGCACTTCTTCCTATTAGCCTGCCAAAAATGGTATATCAATTCTTGTAATTCTGCCCCTGCATTTTTATTTTTATTTTAATAAAGCTACCAGAGATGATTAGATTGATTAATGCATGAAACAAGAGGCATCAACAGTGGAAAAAATGTTTGTGGAAGAAATAGCTTGCTATGAGCTTGCCTATGTTGCCTCCTGTGACTCCCTCCCACATCTTTGCCTTCAAATTCTTGAAGAAGGTGATGAGGTGCCTTCACCTTTGGCACTATCTTGGGGCTATAAATGGCTTTAAAAGCCATTTGGGGGTTTCCCTGGTGAAGGGAAATATTGAGTGGCAATGAGCCAACATAGCTCACTTAGGCAACCCTCTGTTGCAACATGAGTGGAGGAAGGAGATTAGACATAGCCCCAATTGCTGATTCAGAAAGGCCAGAATCCTTTTAACCAGCAAATTAAAATTACAGCTGCATCTTTTCTCTCCATTCTGCTTTTTATCACATAAGAAACAGAGCTCTCAACTTCTGACAAAGCTATGCAAAAGTTCCCTGACTGAACACGTAAGAGCTTCCATGCTTTAGCTCTGAATAGAACGACTGCTTTACCTCTGTGGTTTTGCTGTAATTGTGGATTAATATGAACATGCAAATTGAACAGCAGTCTGTCAGAACAAAGAATACTATATATATGCACATATGTTGCTCCTGAGCTGATGATGTTTTAAACTGAATTTAACAGATTCATACCTCTTTGCACAGCAAGTAGTGAACGCTTGGAATTTACTGCCACAGGACACTCACTGCACAGCAGAGAATGGGGGAAAAAAAAAAAAAAAAAAAGGATTAGACAGATTTATGGACATTAGTTTCACAAAGAGGCACTAAAAGCACGTACCCTCCACCATCTCTATCTAACAGTTTTGGACAGTGGGGATGTGTGAAAAGAGTGAAGTACAGAAAAAGCCCAAGTTCACATACTAAACAGTGTCCTTTACTGCCACTCAAAGAAACAATGCTGAATTAAATGGACCGACAGCCTGAGCTAGCACAGATTTCTTTCTTTCATGTTCTTTAACAGGTCAATATCCTGATCAGCAAAGACTCATAAGTGTGCTAAGGTTTTTGAGTGAAGCTTCCTTAGTTAAAGGCAGATATCTATGTATTAAATCAACTAACTCTCACCAGCTGCGAATTACTGTTTTCCCTAGTGAGTGATCATTCCCAAGCAATTTTCTGAGACATTCTAACAGTTCTGTTGCTAAACGAATGTGACATGCCAACTAAACACTACCTTGTATTAATCCCAGTGTCACAAATTGTCTTACACAGGAACTACTTGGCAGTCCTTTGCTCAAGTGAATTACATTTATTAAAAGAAGGGTTGTGCATCCTCTTGGAATGGCAAATCCAGACAGACTTTAAGGTATATAAATAAACTTTGTACAGTGATCTTGCAGTAGTTTAAAAATCATTGCTTATGTCAGAGTGACTAAAAAGAGATACAACTAACTGGGTGATTTTGCACCACGTGCTTGCATTTGCAGTGAAGTCAACACATCTCAAGAGAGCTATTTATTCCCTCCAGAATTGTAACTATTTGAATTCGGGCAAATGGAAATCTGTTCTTCTGACAACCTACATGAAACAGGAATAAATATTGCAATCTCTTGGTATTCAGTATTTTCTGAAATTGCACCATTGTCCATTTATGGAGACTTAGCAGATTTAGTACCTATGAGATCAGTTCATTTATAGATGGGAAAACAAGGGTGCAGTAATTATCTTACTGCTGCTTACATAAATATAAAAGTATACCTGGTAAATGCATAAGCAGTACATGCTAAAAAGAATATAATGTGCTCTGGTGAAGTGATTAGTTATTTTGCTGGTATGATTTTATTTTATTTTTTTCAATTTAATAAACAATCTCTCTGAAAACACATTGTAAAACTATAAACTGTATTTGAACAAAGCACAGCCTGGTGTACTCACTATACACCATATAATTGAACACTGATAAGGAGTTTGCTCTCATCTTTACTAAATATTCTACTTTGTGACTAGATTAGCAACTACTGTGGTTTAAAATGCTTGAAGTCATGGCTACAGGAGTTCTTCCCATTTAGCTATTGCAAAACACTCAAGATAGTGTGCAATAACTAGCTCTTGTCCTGTGCATATACACAGAGAAAAGTCACACTTTTATCTAGCCGAAAAAACTTTCCTGCTTAATCAAAATCTTGAAACGGTGCTTCTGAAGCTTTTACATTGCTGAAGGGATAAACTAATGGTAAATTAGTTTCATTGCATGAAAATGTTCATGGGGCATGAGGAAAAAAACGTTTCGCACTCCAACACTTCACACATACAATAGCTGCAAATAAGATAAGAGTAGAAGGCTAGACATTGTCCAGAAAGGTATTAGCATAACATGGATAACATGCAGAATTTAAATTAAATTAAATCAAATTAAATTAGAAAAATAAAACCAAAAACAGAAGAAAACAGAACAAAATAAACAAAAAGAAAAAAGAAAAAAGAAAAAAGAAACAGGACCATAGAGCAAGAGCAAGACAAGCCAATCACTGATTAAAAAGATGAGGAAGAGTGGGTTAAAGATCAGTGTGGTGTGTAAGTGAATAAAATCTAATCTTGCTTCGGAAACAACAAACAAACAGCGGCACAATATGCCACGTTCAGGAATGTGACAGCCATGTTGTAACTGGCACTTGAACAACAGAGAATTATTGCTGCTGATATGGTAATTGCAGAGGTACAGAAAAAAAGTGGGTGGATCATGTGAAATTCATGAAATACTTGAGGTGAAGTACAGCAGGATTAGTCTTTTTCTTTTAATTGTGTACATTGATCCCTATGTGTAACTGGTTTAATAAAAAGCATATTGTTCATTCTCAAGAGGCTTACAAATCCACTTCATCTCTGTGTCATTTTTTGTTTGTGAGATATTTTGCAACATGCTTTTCCCCTTTGGCCTACGCAAGTATGCCTACATATGCATACCTATTAGAGCCAGACAAAAATCTGCTGCCTGTAGCTGGTCATTCTTATAACAGAACTTCTGGTTGTTTTCCACAACACTTTAAGCTGTCTGAAACAGTCTTGTTCTGACCCAGATTCTGTGACATGAGCTAGGTTCACACTGGAAACATTTACCAATCTAGGCCTGATACTGTTGTCCAGTTCAAGGACACAAACAAGATTTCTGCGTAGTTTGAACACAGAATGAAGGACTCTCACAACAAGCTGAATCTGTGTTGTAAGTAGGTCAGAGGACTGCCATCATGCCCTTGACCACTCTAAGAAATGTACGTTTCATGTGAAAGGTCAGGTTTATCTATGATAGAGCTTTGCCCTGGTCTACACTTCTCACTCCATCTTAAGACAGCATTGTATCAGCTAACTTCTGTTTTGCTGCCATGTTAAAGCACACTGATTTTCAGAGCATTGTAACTGCTGATGAGTCTTGTATTTCTGTTCAATGGGATTTGTATTTAATGAGATTGTTTATATGACCAAAAGTTGCTTGCAGGATCCAAGGCTGCATCATGAATAATTTTATTAACTGAATGTAAGTCAAGAACATACACCTGGAAACACAGACTTGTTTGCAGGGCTATTTCAAGGGCAACAGACAAAATAAAAACAGAAAGTTATAGAGCTAACAGGCTGCCTGCCTTGCCCATCCATACAGGGGAAAGAAAAACATGCTTTTCCAGAAAGATACAGAACACTATAAAGATATAGAACACAGTATAAGAAGGACATAAATCTATTAGAAAGCATCCAAAGAAGGGATGTGAAGATGGTGAAGGGTATAGAATGCAAGACATATGAGGATTGGCTGAGGTCCCTTGGTTTATTCAGCCCAGAGAAGAAGCTGAGGGGAGGACTCATGATGACCTACAGCTCC